TTTTTATAGAGACCCGTCGCCATGGCGACCCTATATATAGCAGCCAATCAAATTTAAGGTTAGTAAATTTTATTTTTATTTTTTATTATAAAATTTAGAAAATTTTTAGAAAATTTTAGTTAGCCAATAGTAAGCAACCTATAGGCCAGTCACGTGCTCAATTTTGATTAGCCAAGCATATAGGGTCACCATGGCACCCATCGCCATAAACTAACGCCCATAAAAAAATTATACTTTTAAAAGGAAGAGAAATTAGATTCTGTGGGATTACAAGTAAAACTGAAAAAACAGAAAAAAAAAAAAGAAAAAGGATATAAATTAGTGGACGAACCATTTTTCAAAAATTATTGTAAATTTATGTGAAAATATTCGCAATAATATTCGAAAAAACCAACCAGAAGAGTTTAATTGGAGTGATGTAAAAAATGATTATAATCATGCTAACGATAAGAAAAAATTTATTCAAGATTTAGAAATGTGGTTTAAAAAAAAGCCATTAACAGTTGCAAAAGAAAAAGGTTGCACAATTAAAGATGTTATCTCAAAGAGAACTGCATACTTCTTACTTGGCAATTATCTTATCAATAGAAATTTTAAGGAAGCAGAATACCTCAAGTACTTAATAGTGTGTTATCAAAGAGTCGCGACCCTTGCTGAAATTATAGAAAACTATTTTATCATTTTATCTTTTTCAACTAGCTTTTTTATCAGCAGGCATGGTGTGTAAACTTGTTTTAGCAATTCTTGTTTTAGCAACTTAATTTACCAAATAATTCTAAAAAAAAAAAAAAAAAAAAAAAAAAAACTTATAGGCAAATCAACTCATATTGATTCGTTAATTAAATGGTTTAGAAGTGAAGATGATGATAGTAAGTTTGTTATATTCTATTAAATTATGATATAGATTTGTATATTTTTTAACATATATATTATACAATAGAAAATGAAAATAATAATGATAATTCGGACACAAATATTGAGTTGTAAAGTTATACGATTTTTTTTTAAAAAAAATAGATATTATTTCTGTAATACCTACAATTTATAAGAAAAATTTTTCTTTTTGATTTTGCAAGAATGATGAAAGTAATTAATAAAACAATGATACAATATATGCATTATATCTAGTATAGAATCATATATCTATTAAATACATGTGTTATTTGGATAAAAAATAAAAATTTCATATAGAATATATTATAAAAATTAAGAGTTGAAATTTATAATTTTGAAATAATCAAGTTTATTATGCTCTAATAATTTAGGGGTCTTTTCGTACTGAAATTTATCAAATCTTATTGATTTTTGTACCAAATTTACTTAAATCTTATTATTTGATTTTTAGAGGCAGTTTGCAAAAGAATATTTTCTTAATGAGATTTATTATAAAAATTTTTAAATTGATTTGTCTTTGATATATCTTCAAAACCCTACTACTAAATATGTAAATTGTATAATCTATAGCTTTGGTAGTTTTAAAAGTCTGCATTTCCATAACAACTGTGATATAAACTTTTACTAATCAAAGCTATTTTAATTTATCACTAGTAAAAAATGCTTTTATTTCACTCATTCATGCTAATCAAAAAATATGTTTTGAAATTTTGTGTTTATTAGTTAATAATTTTGGGTAATGAGCAAATCATATACCATATAAATTTTTTATACAACAAAATCGTGTTTTTTAAATTACTGTGATCAGCAGATAATCATCCATTATATGAAAATCTATAAAATTTCATTAAATTCATTATTTTTTAAAAAATTTCTATCTAAAAAGTTAAAATTCCAAAAATTCTTTATCAAATTCTGATTCTTTTGTATATCATCTATTAGTATACTATATCTTAAAGTGGTCAGATCAAAGAATACTAAAATTTTTTAGTTTTTTTTACTAAATTTTCTTAAACTTCAAGTGAATCTATTTTGATAATAGTTAATCATTTTTGATATTCAAAGCTATTTTCAAATTCTGTAGATTTGTGAAATTCAAAAATGGTCTTAAATATTAAAATTGACTGTGCTATTGTTGAGAAATCTTCAATCAAACTTTTAAAAATATTTAATATTAGAATTTTATACATAATATATACAATACATTTGGCTGGTATAATTTCAGCCAATCACAGACTTGCATTTTACTAAAATCCTGATTTATAGATTTTCTTTGATGTATGATATATGAATTTTACTGATCACAGTAATTTGAAAAACTATAATTTTGCACTGAAATTTACTCAAATTTTATGATTGAATTTTATACTGAAATTTATTAATTTTTAGTAGCAGTTTGGGCTCTTCTACTACAAAAGAATATTTTCTTAATAAAAGATTTTTAAATTAATTTGTCTTCAGAATATTTTCAGAAATCAAACTAAATATATAAATTGTATTAACTATAGTTTTAGATAGTTTTAAAAACTTGTATTTCTCAAAACTGTGATATAAACTTTACTAATCAAAGCTATTTTTAATTTATTGCTAGTAAAATGCTTTTATTTCATTTATTAATGCTCTTAAAAGATATTTTACTTTTTAATTTTTGGCATAATATGAAATTTGTCTTAATAGTTGTTCAATATTTCTTTTGTTATAAAAATATTAAAAACTTTAACTAGATCAAGTATTTAAATATAAATTTATAGATCTATTAGCTCACAAACTTCAAATATAATTATATTTATTTAAAAGTTCATTGTACTATATACTATTATATTTAGTATTTTAATCTGACTAACTTGAAGCTATAATATATTTATTCAGTGTTGGCAAATAGAACAATAAAACAAAAACTCAATTTTTTGTCTTTATATAAAAAATTTTTTTTATTAATAATTTGCAATTATTTAAATATATATTGTCAGAATATTAGTAAAGTAATAAATTTAAAATATTTTTATATTTAATTAGTAAAATTTAATACTTAAAATTTATAATAAAAAAATAAAAAAATTAAATAGAATTAGAAGCCAATAAAAAAAATATATAATTGTGACAACCCTGATTTTATTATATAGATAGTAACCTTTTCTTTAAAAAATTTTTGAATTTGTATTTCAGCTTTTTTTAGATTATTGTTCTATTATTGATCTGAAAAATATATAAAAAAAATATATAAATTCTTGGTCATATCCATAGAATCTTAATAAAAATAAAAGCCTGGCTTTTAATCATAATGAAATACAAAATATTAGAAGCAAATTTTACTCAGTTTTGATGTTTACTCAAAAATTACTGAGATTCTATAGAAATAATAAAGAATTTGCATATGTTTTATTCTTAAAAATGAGTATTTTTCAAAACGATAATTGAACAATAATTTAGAAAAAGCCAGAATATGTTTTTCAAAAATTTTTTATAAGCAATATGTATTTCATATACAAGTTATATAGACTATATAGTATATATAGTAATTAATTCAAATTTTATTCAATTATATGATTTTATTTATATATATACTACAAGTTTAATCTATTAATAAAACTTTGAAGTAGATTGCATAAGATAATTAATAATTGGATAATATTTTTACAAATACTAAATAGTTTGTTATTACACTTGAATTTTTAATATAAGTCTAATAATTATACTATATTCTTTGTTTAAGTACAATTATATTATGTAGCTACATATCTGATTTTAACTTTAGATATATAAAATATTTTTAATTTTGTAAAATGATAAATCATCTTTTATACTCAGTAAAAATACAAATATATTTATATATATGTAATTATTAAAAAATTCTTTAGAATATAAAATCAGTTTATTAACCATTCTGGCTAAGTGCCAATAAAAAATTTAAAATTTGTCACCAGTTACTAAAAGTTAATTGATATTATGAAGACTGATAATATAAAATTGTATAGCTTTATTAAAAATTTTTTAAATATAAAATTTTTTACCAAGTATCTAGTTATAAAAAATAATAAAATTTATAAAAATTTTTTATTATAAAAAAAATTTTTTAAAAAAAATTAAAATCCAGGTTGGTGGGTTATAAGAGGCCTGTTGGTGATATAAAAACAGAAACTATAAGTTTGTATAGTTTAATAAAGATGATATATATATATAATATTAACTTATTATTAATTGCTTATATATATATGCAACTATTAACTTATTATTAATTATATATATATATATGCAATTATTAATTTATTTATTATATATATATATAGATATTAATTTATTAGCAATTGTATATATATGTATATTGCTGTTAACTTATTTGATTGTATACATATTTGTGCAACTATTAATTTATCAGCAATTGTATATATATATATGCTACTATTAACTTATTGTTGATTGCATATATTTGTGCAACTATTAAGTTATTAGCAGTTGTATACATATTTGTGCAATTATTAATTCATTAGCAATTTTTTATATATATATGCTGCTGTTAATTTATTAGCAATTGTACACATATTTGTGCAACTATTAATTTATTAGCAATTGTATATATATATATACTACTGTTAACTTATTGTTAATTGTATATATAAAGCTTTTATAATAGAAAAGAAACTCAAATATATCTTATTTTGAAATAATTGAGTTTAATCACTTGTTTTGATTTTCGAACTGATTCAAATTAACCAAAATTTCATAATTTTGATTGGTTAAAGGTAACAGGTAATTAATGGGCAATCTCGTGATGTGCTCTGCCTTATACAGTTTTGTGCAACTTTTCTTTTACATTATCTCAATTTTTTATTATACAAATTGACTTTTATTTATAATTGAAAAATGTTAACCACATTGAAATTTACCTAAATTTAATAAAAACTCAATTTTCATTTTTGAGTAGTTTCTGCTCTTTCTATTGTAAAGGCTTCATATATGTATTTAACTATTAATTTATTAGCAATTATACACATATATATAATAATAATTGTATATATATAAACACTTTTCAATAAAAAAGTATGAAAAAGTTTTAATAACTTTTTTAAAATTTTAAATAGTTGTTAAAATTTTTAATTTAAAGACTTTATTTAGAAAAAATCTTCTTTTTTTCTATTGAAAAGCTCTATATATACAATAATTAATTTATAAAATACTTATAAATAAGAACTTAATTAGATATTATATACTGTAATATACTTATATATTGTATTTTAACAATTGACCAATTAAATTTAAAGATCAGATATAATATGCAAAATCATTTTGTATAACAAAAAAATTTTAAAACTTAATAATATCTCTAAATTCTGTTTATGAAACTACTTTTTAAACTTTAATAAAAAAAATTCATTAAAAAATTTTGTATATATTAAGCTTTATTTAACTACTAACTCTAATCTTGACTCTAATTCTAATTCTAATTTAACTAATTTTTATATATATATTATTTATAGGCATCTCTTGCAGGATATATATAAGTTATATATCTTCCACAACCAAATTTGTTTAAGGTAGGGTTAGAGTTTGTGTTAAGGTTAGTACCTATAGTAAAATTGCTCAAAGAAACTTTTTGTTAGAGTATGAAAGGTAGTTTCTTATACAAATATTTGAGAAATAAGCAATTTTTGAAAAAATAAAAATTTGTTTTGATCTTTGTGATTGTGCTATATTACACTAAATTCTGATGAACTTCTGATTCATCATTGGGCAATTCGTGGGAATACACATCTCCTGCGAAAAATGCCTAAAACTACCTATTATTTATATAGATTTACAAATTATATTTATATAAATATGATAAATTAGTATATTGCAGAGTACTATATATATATTTATTCTATAAATAAAATATACTTTATATTAATATTATTATATTTACTATATTTAAATTTTTGTATTTATATCTATATCTAAATATTTGGATATTCTATAGAATAGGTAGGCAATATAAAAAATAAGCTTCATTAATAATTAGTAACCATTAATTTTTAATAGTAGAGTCACAGAGTTTGCAGAGCTTGTTCATTTATTCTATAGAACATCCAAATATTTATAGTATCTATGATTATTTA